CCGAAGACAAGAAGCGAGTTTGAAGTAAAGTTTAGTAGAGTTATGAGAAATGTTTAAAGAAATTAAGTTTTGATCTCGAGAGAGTTAAGTGGGCAATTTATTAAAACTTTTGCATTCTCGACTTGTGATACTTGGAAAAATTTCAAAAGATTCGTTTAATGGGGTAATATCTGATGTTTATCGCCTTGGATTCCAAATATATTAGTGGACAATTTTAATGGCACCTAAAAGTGTAATGTAAAACGAGTGACATGATGATGTCCTAACAATTACTTTATTAATTCTGTTTGTTTACGTGTTTACGTAAATATCCAAAGGCTCTTTATTATAAGAAAACATTATATAGAAAAAGTAAAATTAAATAGTACGCTTTTTGGAACTAAAATTTCTGAAATGAAAACAACAATTATATAAAGTTAAAATATTCTTAGATGCAGGATCATTTGAACGAGGTATCAAATCAAGACCCGAATATTTGACGGGTTTTGTTTGTCTATGCCAAATATTTGCCCGATGTCCGACATGATCGGATTCTCAGTTAGCAATTTCAACTGTCTGTGAACTCTTAGAATGAGGTCATCCTTATTTGAATAATGTACTTCCTTAGATTGAAAATGTTATAGTCTGGCTAATGAATTATTTGAAAACTTTCGGATGGCAACACACAATGTCATTGAATTTCTTAGATTAGTATGATTTATTGTCTTGATACTTTATGCAACTACTCATTTATATTTCTATTATATATTTTTTCCGAATAGTTAACAGGTATTATAGCCTAAACATTTAGAAAGTTTCATAATCAATGTGAGAGACAGTGATACTAGCTATGACTCTGATGAATCTATGCATATTGTTTTTTTTGGATTCTGATTATTCCGTATAAAGTTGTGTTTTATAATAAATATAGTTTTAGTTTTCCATGCAGTGCTAGTCATTTTAAGTATGAATAGTAAAAGACTAAATACGTTACTATCAATGTAAAAAATCAAATCAAGTATCAAGTAAGTTTAATCCACAAAATAAATTGAATTTGCCGCGTTTTTTAGTTATCTTCTTTCATTAGCCAGACTTTTACAAATCATATCGTAATCTTTGAATTCAGAACGTCAAAACGATTCTTCAAAGACGTCATTTCACATTGCTCAAAAATATTGAAAAACTGTCAATTTCACGAAGATCACCAAAGAGTTTCCATTATTATCTTTTGCAAAATGTTATTATGGCACATTTAAAACCGTTATCGTGGCCACGTTTGCCTTTGTTTATATATTCAAGCACTTACCTATTTTTAGGGTTAAAATGAGACTTTATCACGTGAAATAAGTTTAATTACAATAAGTATTCATTTTTTAAAACAATATAATGATAGTATTAAATTTCAGACCATTGATCCATACACTATGTATGAGTTTATAGACATAAACACTAAAATTGGCAACAGCTATAATTTGATAACCTACAAGTAGAAAACGTAGTTTATTCATCGCAATAATTCCCAATTGATGTCACAATTTGCAATTTGCATCGTAAAAGCCCGCTTTTCTTTGACAAATCCCGTGAGTTTTGAGCGATTAGATTGCATAAACAAGCAGCAATAAGTAATCTGGATGCAGATGTGGCTTGCAAAGCTTCTGGTCCCATAGATAATGGTATTTACATTGCAGATTTACCTTTTGTCTCTGCGATCGCAAAAATTTGCATATGGATTAATTAGAGCATTTTAATTAACTTTATATTCATTCAGACTAACCTCGTTGTACATACAAGTGTATATAATTATAAAGTGAATAAGTAATAATAATGCAAGAATAATAAACATAGACAAATCAAACCTTATGTAAAAGCCAGCCCTAATATAAAGAAATTCGTCAAAGAAAGCAATAGAGTGCTTTAAATAGAGGCGTGCCAATTCTTTAACTTTTTTTACAGAAAGCGGGCAGGAGGCTGACCTGATTTTAAGTGATTCCGCCGCCCATGGGCACTCTCTTATAAGAATTGCTACGCTCTTTTCTTGAAGGACCCTAAGTGGAATTGGTTCGGAAATACTTCAGTGTATAATTAATTTATTATTGTAATAATGAAATCGGAAAAAAAAACACAGTACAGGACGATTTTCCATACGAATTATGAGACTCCATTAGAAAGACGCCATTAATTGAATCTCGGACTTAACTATAAATGCTTCAAGTAGTTTGGATTTAACAAAGTTTTATCATTATCTGCGTTCTCGATACCACAGTGTACTTTGTGAAACAACACTGAACGCATTGAATTAATTAAATGTTGATTAACTAAGTACGTATTTAAAAAAACAATCAAACGGAACAAATGAGCTTAAAGGTAGATCATAAAAACATATCATACACCTATTTAGTGATACGTTATATAGCAGTTTTGAGGAAAAATATATTAAATAAATATGAGGCATCTAAGAAATCAGCAAGATCTTTCAAGATATGTCGATTGTTATAGCAAGTACCATATAAACTTCAGTGAAGAGTAAATCACTGTCCATTATGAGGGCAATTCACTCTTTAAGAACTTGTTGAAAGGCTTTTTTGATTCTTAGCTTTTTCTTTTGATGCTTTATAAGTTTACATAATTTGTTTGAAATTTTCTCTCTAGGAATGTTTGAGCGTTGTAGACATCCAGCAAATTTAATTGTTGCAAAACAGTATTCGAATTCGATAATTTTAGAGTATGACGTTTGTATAACTTATAAAAAATATTTGTTAAAACCTTTAGGATCAAAGAATACAATAATATTGTAGTCGCATTCAAGAACGGATCTTGAATCATTAGTTGGGAGCAGTTTATTAGAATATTTTATACCAGCCTTTATATTCTGTAACTCACTTTTCGAAATCTTACTGCGGTTTTCGCAGCGGCGGTCGCACTCAAATCAGTCGTGAAGAAGTCATTTTACGATTTGGTATTCTGATAAACAATAAACTACAAGCTCCCTCCTATTTAGAATGCCAAATCGTAAAATGACTTCTTCACGACTGATTTGTGTGCGACCGCCGCTGCGAAAACCGCAGTGAGAGTTCGAAAAGTGAGTTACAGAATCGCAAGGCCGGTACGAGCCAGAAATCATCCGCACATAGAGAAATCCATTGGTTAACTGATAGGACTCTAGGGTAGAAAGTCGAAGGCAAAACTGTGCCCTATATTATTTATTTTTCTGGTCATATTATTTCTACAAGGCTTTTAAAAACTTAACTTCATTTCTTATTCTTCTTTACATTTTCTACAAAAGAAGGTATCTTGTAATTTTAGTCTTACATGGGAATTAAAGAGGGTCCCTTTACGTGCCGGGTTTACAAATTTAGAGATTCTCTATTCAAAGGTTAGGAAAAGTGGTATTTTAAAGGCCCTTTCAAAGAAAAGTATAAGCCCGTATTGTCCACGTTTTATAAGTCTCTTTTTATCAAATCCAAATACTCCACTTTTTTAATATACGTTAGTTGAAATAGTTGTGTTGTACTGTAATATATGTTATTGAATGTGTGTCTTTCTTTGAATTTAAAGATTCGGATTTAAAGTTGTTCGGATTAATACCTGAGTTTCATCATCGGGCGTCGAGGCAGAATACGAAATTACACCCACCAGCTGCCCACTGAAGTATTTCCGAACCAATTTTACTGCTAGGGTCCTTCAAGAAAAGAGCGTACCGATTCTTAAAAGGCCGGCTACGCACTCGCGAGCCCTCTGGCATTAAGAGTGTCCATGGGCGGCGGTATCACTTAAATTCAGGCGAGCTTCCTGCCCATTGCCCCATGTTTGATTAAAAAAAAACGATTTTATTCTTTATGAATCTGCCGTTTAGGGCAAACTCATTTGTAGTTACTATTAAATAAGTGTACTGAGTATTTCAAAGTGCCTTTTTACTAAGTTTAATGTACAATTACGGCTCAGCACACAATACAATTATTTACTAATATTGTATTGCGTATTGGAATACTATTAAAATGTCGCTTTAAGGGTCTATTTTCCTATATACATCATTCTTAGTTTCAGTAAGAAATTACTTATTCAAATATATTTTTTGGCGAACTATCGTTAATTCTAATGTTGTTACTCGAAAACACATAATGCTCTGTTCACATGAGAATTTATTAGCTATAATTCACACTTGGTAACACTATTTCCTTTAATTTATATCCCAATCGCGCAGCATATGCGGATTTCCACCCACGAAGATCTAGGTCGAATAATCAATTACATATACACTGAAATGTGTATTTATGGTCCACTTTGTTTCGAATTGAGTACGGATTTTAATTATTATTTTGCTACGTAGGTTTCTCGGCTACACGCATGCAAATTTGTACTAAATTAATTTTTAAAGTTTATTAAAAGGACTCAACGAAAAATAGCAGAAGAACGGACAACGCAGTGCTGCAAGTAGAAGTCTGCATTGTTGTTCAATAATTAAGGCTGTAGTATTATTAATCCAAACACTCCATACAATCAACTACGCTTTCTCACTTGATTTCATGTTTATTTTAGTACAAATAGGAAATGGTTTGATTCTATGCGATTCAATATAAAGTTTAATAGTTACCAACGAATACATGTTGATTTATTTAACATGTTTGTAACTGACGAAATTAATATATCAATTTACCGTATGCGGAAATGGACACCAATTAAGTTTCCATAAAATATTTATTTTGCAATATGAAATGTATATTATGAGAGGATGCAATTTCAGGTCTATTTATTGATGAGAAAAGCAATATGTGTTTTTTTTATTTTTGTTTAGTTTTAGTTACGTGGCTCAATGCCGTCATTCCTTTACATGATCACCACTCTCGTACTGGATTAAAGAAGTATAGTCAACGGAACGGGCTCAAAAATGTGTCTTTCCCGTCCCTCATTGGGTGGGACAAATGTACCATAATTTATTTTGAAAAGTAAAAGTATAGTGAAATATTTAAATGATAAACGATCTGGTTTATATAAAAAGTCTATTGCCACAAAAATATTGTTATTTAAACATCTTTAAAAATGAAGTTAAAAGGTTCCACGATGTAGTTCAGAGAGGCTGGACGCACATTGAGCTCCCCCCCTGTCCACTCTATTTGAAAGTTTTCTATGGTCTTCGAGAGGAAGGTTTCTATTTCTAACTCTGCTATACGCCGACCTGGAAAATTCGATTAAGGTATAAAAAGCACGAAAACAGCTTTTTCAGTTCAATTGGTAGGTTTATTATATAGAGCATGTTTTTTTTAGGTATTATCAGGTAAGGATACTGAAATAAACGAAGAAAATACTTCTATCTATCTACAATTATAACTTTAAATGAAACAAAACTCAGAAATATGAAGTCCCAATACGGGACTAACATAATCTAGCAGGGCTTTGAACAAAGTATTAACTATCATATTATGTTACTTTCTGATCTTTGTATAGTAAGTAGTAGACTCACATCTATATACAGTAGATTTTCAAGCAAAACAAGGCAAAGTTGTGCAGGTCAATTGTGAAAATTAGTTTTTATTGAAAAAAATATACAATATATGTTATGGTGTTTTTGCATTTCTTGCGCTCCTTATTTCATTTAATTTTTTCTTTAAAGGTTGGAAAAGATCGCTCGAAAGCAGTTAGGTCGCTCTTTGCCCTTCTTATTATGTAATTAATATAATTTGTACTGATTTTTGTATTAATGTCGTAAATACGTTTCAGAAAACACCGCCCTTAAAAATCACAGAATGTACACCGTTTGGAAGACATTCACTTGGAACATTACATAATATTTAGATTTCACAAATTTGATTTAAATAAAATTTCTAAAATTATTATTTTTAAAGAATAATTCTAAAATTATTCCGTAATTAATAGTGAAATAAACAAAAATGTTACCTATACAACTTCTAACTCCAAAGCCGAATGGGTTATAAGCAAACGGATGGGCGTTTCTATAGTGAAGTGGGTCAGTCTTATCAACGAGCCAACGTTCTGGAATGTATTCCTTCGCTCTCGGGAAATGATCCTCAGACATTGATAGGAATTGGTGTCCAAATGTCACAAACATCTGGAAATTGGTTTTCATACATTTTTGCGATCTCGATAAAGAGGGCTCAGTGGCGCTATCAACTTCTTTAGGTCCTCAGATTTCTGTATTTGTTTCATGATTTGTCAATAGGCAAGTAGGTGATCAGCCTCCTGTGCCTGACACACACCGTCGACTTTTTGGGTTTCCTCACGATATTTTCCTACACCGTTCGAAATTTCCTACACATAGAAAGTCCAGCCGAGTGTCGAACCCATGACTCAGGGATGAGAGTCGCACGCTGAAGCCAACACTGGTCTAACGAGAGTTAAGTAAAAATATTGCACTTCTAGCGCTCCTTATTTAATTAAATTTTTCCTAAAAGGTTGCCTGGAAGAGCTTGAAAGCGATAAGGCCGTCACTCTTATTATTATTGAATGATTATAACTTCTGAGTGTTAAATAAATAAAATATTAAATTCATAAATGCCTACATAAATTCAGTATGTAATCAAGTATCATTTCTGCAAATCACTAACATATTTTGTATTATTAATATTTCTTAGCAGTAATAAATATCGACATATCAAACTTTACACACAAAAACCACTTAATAAAACTAGCCAATCTTAATCAGACTTAATTAACCTTTAAAAACTTATCTACACATTTTAAACTATTTTGTGTGACAAGGTTAGGTTAAATAAACAATAATAACATATACAGTAAACTCTTTATAACGAATTTCTAGGGACCGAGCATTTTATTCGTTATAGGGAGACTAGAATTAATGTATGGGTATTGGCTTAAGCCAAATAAATTTAATTCATTTTTACGTTATAAAGTTTTTCGTTATTATTATTACTATTACTATTAAATATATAATGTACTTACATCTTTAGGAATTCTATATCCCAAAATATCATACTCCTTTGATGTTGCCCTCAAATTTCCAGCAACTACGGGCTTAACTCTGAGCGATTCTTTAATGCAAGCCTTCAAGTATGGCTTTTGTTCTGAACGGGATAAAATCTCTTCCCTTAATTTGTTTTGCTTCTCGGGATTTTTCGCAAGTAGATAGAACGTCGCTAGCATTGTGTTCGCGGCCTTGGATAGAAAATTTTTATTTGAGGGTAGTTTTATAATGCAATAACGAATAAAATTCAATAAATAATAAACACAAGCACCAAGGATTTAAAAAAAAATGCAAATAAACAAATCCATGCAAAATGGCGGAATTCTAATGAGTTGTATAAGTACATTTCTTTGAAGTTATACTTCTTTAGGCGCGTTATGAAAAATTGATGAGAGTGAAATTTTACGATGCGCGCGCACCGTGACACAAAATTAACAGAATGAAGTTGCCCACGGAAGATGCTGCGGCATTGGACATAATTTAAAAACGACATTCGAATAATAATAGGATTTATGTTACACTTAAGCAGGCCATAGACGGACCGCATGTTGCAGTCAAGACCGACTGCAATATACGGTTTGCTCAGGAACTGCTCGAGTGGTCCGTGTTTTGCGAATATGAATTTAGTATGGAAACTGCAGATCGCCGTGCGGCGACCGCATATTGCAGTCGGTCTTGACTGCAACATGCGGTCCGTCTATGGCCCGCTTTAATGTAAGAGAATAATAATAAATATTTATTTATTTAATTTTTCAAATGTAAACTGAACTTTATTGACTATAATGACTCCTTTTCCAGTCTTTGATTATTTAATTGTAATTAATTATTTGCATGCAATCAAAAACTATTTTTAATAATGCCAAAGAAGTATAACTTCTTACGCGCGTACATAAGTACACGCACCTTCTTTTTTTCTCTTTTGACCTATTTTAGGCATATTTGAAAGCCTACAATATTTGATAGTGCTGCGGGAGACGCAAAAAGCGGGCCGCGCCACTTATCCGAAAATATTCTTTAAATATTTACAGGCATGAGAATGGTTTCCCGCGGCTCTCGATTCGCCCTTTTATATTAGAAACCTTTCAGCTGTGACCTAGATGACTTTATTACGTTGTTAATAGCTCCATACTTATCCTTGTAATTAATAAAATCTATGTTCTCCATTACAACACTTACCGTATCAACACCAGCGAGTAACATGTCACCCGCCATTATAGTAGCAACATTCTCGTCAATTTCTAGAAGTTTCTCAAGGATTCCTTTTTCATCATCCGATTGGTCCTTAGTTTTATATTGTTCTCGTGCTTGATTGATAAAGTATCGACTCAAACTGAAATCATTGATTCATTGAACGAGGATGTGCGAGGAGTAGTTTGTTAGGAAGGTCAGCAAGAGGAGATCGGAGCACCTTCGGAACCAAGAGAATGTATAAGAAATATTTTTAATATTTAGTTTTTTCCTACATTGAAAAGATCGCTCAAAAACGCGAAGGCCACCTTTTGCTGTCCTAATTATTTAAGTGTTCTCATTGTAAGTAATGCAACGAATTGAAAATATTCATTTTTACTAAGTGATAAAAAGGTAATTGGTGTTTCAGTGATTCTGCGATTCAAAGTCAAAGTAAGGCCTTGACAGCTCAGCTTGGGCTGTTTTGGTCAACGTAGCTTGGCCGGAATGGGTTTTTTCCAGAGACAAGGGCAAGGGCGTCTCCTGCGAGACTCGGACCTCGGCTTGGGCCGTTGCGCGGGGGATTACGGAAGCTAACTGGAGTGAGCGAAGTACGAAGTAAGGGGCCATGCTTTTCCCGGTGAAGGCGGTTTTTTTACCCTTATCTGGAGTGGCTCCACCGAGCGGGCGGCTTTTAATTTGTGATTAGCTATCGTGATTGAATCATCCGGATCCGTTTTTTGTTGGGGTAGTTGGGATGCAGTTTAGCCTTGTCGAAGTGGCATGTGGACGCCAACTTCAGGTGCCACAGCTAGTTTTATATTCTATTCCCTAATCTGGCTGGACTACTTCGGAACGAGAATAGTTTAGATATATAATTAGATGTTTTTTAAAATTTTGTATTGAAGACCTGTCTGTCGAGTCCACTAGTATTAGTATAAAAATACACGAAAACTTACTTTGTTTGATCTTCATAGCACTTCATGGCTTTGTAGTAATTTGGAGTACCAATATACCGCCACAAACTTGGCTTAAAGTCTAATTTGTCAGCCATTTTGAAAATACCATGAACAGTCTGTATGAGTCTTCTTGCTGGTGAGTCTTCAGGTAAATTTGGGTCTAAGCAATTTAGCCGACCTCCTAAAGCAACCACGCCAATGGATTCTAAAGCCCATAGATTCATTTCGATATCAAGTTTTCCATCTATACTATTATCTTGTTTACGTAAGTGTCTCATTCTGTAAGACGAAGAAACTTTTAAGAGAAGACGGGCTACAATTAATATTTTTTTATTTAATCAAATTGTTGTAATTAACTCTAGATATTTCTTCAATACATGTAACTGGGAAGTCAAAGGCTCCTGAAATACAGTTTTGCTACATCAGGAGCAAGGGATACGATAAAGTTAATTTTTATTGGTGACTTTTCCCAAATTTGGAGCGAGTCTTTACAACAGCTGACCCGTTTCAAACAAATACGCCTGCGAAATGTGTAGTGGTAGATGGATACTAATGCAGTAACAGCGTAGGACAGTGGCGTAATATAGTGTACGTTTTATGCCACGTATTATTTTAAAAAGAATAAACTTCTTTAAACCTAATTATATTATGATTCAAATTCAAACTAAATATTCTGACTGACGTATAAATATCAACATTTTAAATCATGGATTCATTTATAAATTATAGATTATTTACAAGTTTCTTATTCCATAAGAACGCTTTTAAAAATAATCAGAAAGAGGAGTTTATCAATTTGACGTGTAATTATTTTTAAAGAAATTAGTCTATTTTATATAGATTTCTCGAGATATAAATTGAGAGCTATGACGCGATTTAAGTAAGGTTTTTCAAATAAATAAATAACATTAATTTTGCTTAAAGGTAGGTTTCAACAAGTAGTTCTATTTAATGTTGAGTTATTTTTAACTGATTCTGAATATCGCTGTCAAATTAATTTTGCCAGTCTGGTTCGTTCGTTGGTAGAAAATATTAAAGTTTGGGCACAGTTTTTTTTAAAGATACAGACCTGGCGACCATGTCTTCAGCGACTTCTTCTAGAATTTTGCTATACAATTTTATTGTTTTTGTATGCAGCAAAATCGGATTCACCGTTGTTCGGAACTTTCTCCATGCCTCTCCGTGACTGAAAGAAATATTTATTAAGTGCCATGAACTGTACATATGGTCATAGTGATGTATAAACATTTGTTTGAAAGATTTCTTTCTCTCCGCAAAAAATCTAGCGGTTTTAGAGATAAGAAACATTTTAAAAATTAAAAAAGTTGTCAATCTATCATATTTATAAAGGTTATATGTTCATAAATGCATTGAATTAGGTGAAAATTGTGATTTTTTAAATGTATGATGATGAATAAATACTCTGTCAAAAGTCCAGTCGGCTCGTCCGGCTTATTCTTGTTCTTTCGCTTTCTGTAGTGTTCAAAACTGGCAAACCCCGGGCGAGCAGGCATCCAATTTTCATTTCGTAAAATCTGTGGTAAAAATTCTTAATTGTAATTGCATAATTCAATCATTTTATAGAAAAGCAGATTGGCCCTCTGTGCCTACGCACCCGAAACTGTTATTATATGCCTCATATGTCACACAGCTAAACAATTGACACACGCGGTCGAGGTCCGTATATCAAGCCACAATCTCGTCTGGAGTGCCGTCAAATACGTCAAACAGAAAAAGCCTTAAAAACTAGATTCAAGTTTTATTGACGTTCTAGAATACGGGATACATTTTATTTTGAATGGGAACGAACTTTCAACTGGACAAAATTTTGGGACTTAATCAATTTTGGAATTAAAAAAATAAGAATCGAAGGAAACATTTTTGTCTATAAAGTAACAATTCTTTTTTTCACTAATATAAACTAAAGAAGATGAGGAAACTCGATGACACATTTCGTAAGTAATAGATATGTCCTTTAGTATTTTTTAAAGGACAGCTCGCTCTTCTCCTGTCCCCAAGTCGAATTGGTTCGGAAACACTTCAGCGGGTAGTCACATGTTATATCAGTTCATTTATTATGTTGTTAAAAAAAGGTTATCTAAAACGTCTGTTATCTCAACCCGTCTCATTAAAAACCCATTTTCGATATTCTTTAAAATACTTGTATTCACTGATATAATTCAGTTAGACGTTAAAAACAAGATTCACTAGGCCTTCAATGAGTAAAATACAAGATCAGCAGAATTTGCTGCAATTCAACTTTTATTACGTGTTCTTTTTCTTTTATATCTATTTAACAATAACAGCAGTGCAATAATCTTTTTGCGATCCATCTTACGCTTCTTAAAAACACGTTCAGTACGGCTGACTTCGAAGGAATGGTCGCCCTACCAAAGGATTTGACGCACTAAATCGTATCGCAAAAATTCGCATCGCAAGTTCCTGCGATGCGAATTCGCATCGCAGTTTTGTGTGGGAGCCCTTCTTACGGTGCGTTCGTGCGAATTCGCAGATATTTGCGATGCGATGCGAATTCGCAGTTTTGTGTGGGAGCCTTAAGTTCCGATCTGCTTCGCATCGCACATTCTTGCGATATTACGTCATCCTTGGTGACGCCATTTTAGTCCGCTCTGAGACAGCTTTAGAGAAAGACGCGCGGCGCCTCCACCGCCTTCTTTGTTTATAAAAAATTGCGGAATATGATGTGGATTTTTTAATATTTTTAATTGAGGAGCGTCCCGTCCTTTGGGACACAAGTGATGAACATTATAAAAATAAATTTATTAAGCAAGATGCGTGGAAGAGCGTCTGTGAAAGTTTGGATCAGAGTTCATAATCGTAATAAATGGATGAACCTAGAATCTTCTTTTTCTTTAATATATATTTAACAATAATAATTATCTTTTTGCGATCCATCTTACGCGTCCTAAAAACACGTCCAGTACGGCTGACTACGAAGAAATGGTCGCCCTACCAAACGGTTCGTCGCACTAAATCGTATCGCAGAAATTCGCATCGCATCGCATCGCAGTTTTGTGTGGGAGTCCTTAATGCTTGCTTGTATACATCGTTAGGAAACTTTCATGACTCACACACGAAATGTGTCATTCAGCTAAACAATAGAAGAGACAGAAAATCTTGACGTCCGTCGTTCCACAATGTTTTTTAAGGCCACGGCGCGGTTTTGTGTGGAATTAGTCCATTAAAGTATTTCCGAACAAATTCGACTAAGGGTCCTTAAAAAAAAGTGTTTACCAATTCATGCCCGGGAACGCACTAGCGAGCCCTCTGGCTATTGCCCGTGGGCGGCGGTATCACTTAACATCAGATGAGCCTCCTGACCGTTTGCCCACAGTTCTTTAAAACAAAATTTACAAAATATTTAATCAAAAGCAAATCTTAGTGACTATTTATTCGTTATTGTTATAATAGTATAAACAATACAATACCGATAAACTACAATACCTGGGCAGAAGCTTCGGCATCTAGCAAGAAAATGAGAGTTGGTGAACCAAATCTTCCATCGAACCTGACAATTGGACCGTACTTTTCGTAAAGCACCTCTGGAATTTTTATTGGATCAGCGAGCATTCCTGAAAAGAATGAATAGTCGTTTTATAGAGGAAATCTGTCATTTGTTATCATTATGGAGCATATTTAGATAAAATGTGGTATGGAGATTGCAGCACTGAGGACATAAAAGTTTCTAGGGTAGTTTTATTGGGATAAGTAACCCTTTAGATAAGTAAGAACTTTACGATAGTTTGTGTCAAGATAATGCCAGTTTTTGACAGATCGAACAAGTAGATTTTGCATAAAATTTAAACGGTATTCAAGATACAGTTTAATTTCGCGACAAAGCACTGCTTAAACTTTTCATATAAAATTTATTGCGACGAACTGAATATTATTCGTGCTATATGGTACTTCTCTAGCACCACATGGAAAGGTTAGTTTTAGTATATTGGACGGATTTGGAGAAATTATTGTTCATCACATCTTGAATAGATGCTTTTTGGAAAGACATAGTTGGTAAACGTACCTACCGTAATTTATTTAAATTTGGAATGTGGTTTAAAACAGAAAACGTTTCAATCACCAAAAAGGTCGATGACGAACATTGTACGAAAACATTAAAGGCTGTTACACAATAAAAGGCGCTCGGCCAAATTTAAAAACCGATTATGTACAAGTAAAAACTTACGAAACTTCTTTTGTCATAGTCATTGTAAAGAGGTAATCGTTGAAACTAAAGCCTATTTTAAGGCTTAAGACAAATCGTGCTATAATAATAAATGGATTTTTTTTATGACTGCTATAATTGTTGTATCGCTCTCGCAGGCAACTTGAAATATTGAATAATCAAATCAAATTCTATAAAAAAAAGATTTTTTCTATGTTAGCCTACGAACCTTTCAACCCACATGATAATAATACTTAATATGTATGTACTTATTCGGATTTAAGATAATGCAGTGGCACAAAGTTATACAACATATCAATGAAAAAGGTAGTGAGTTTAATCAAAACGTAATTATTATTACACATATAATATAAAGGTATCGTGTCGTACGTATATTTTTGTTAATTTAATGGGAACTATAAATATCGTGGGATAAAAATATTTAGTAAAATGCGAATTCAATGGCAAAAGTCTACAATTTTTTCAAACGCCTGCAATTAAATGAAACGATCGAGCAGTGACTTTGCTTTTTTAATATTGCATTTGCACGTACAATAACTTTATAAATAAAAATGAATCGCAAAATATGTTGCTAAGCGCGAATCTCGAAGACGAGACTCGAGTATTAAAAAAATATTCTTTGAACTCTAAAGATGGTTTTTTTATAGATCAAAAAGTGGAATATCTATCAGTGGCGTAACAATAGGGTGGCAGAGCTGGCAAAATGCCACGGGCCCCCGACCCAGAGAGCACCTGCCCAAGTGATATTATGTTCTATGGATGAATGCGAAGTCTCCAATACGCATTGGGCTAGCGTGGGGACTACAAACCATTCCCTCTCGCCTAAGAGAGGAGGCCTATTGCCATTAGTAGGAAATATACAACGTGTAATTGAGTACGCTGAAAATCTCGAAGTTTATTAAAACTAAACTGAGTACAATGTGACGATTTTAACTGATAGGGTCCCATCAAAAGAATTTGCCACGGACCCCAGTTACGCCACTGATATCTATATATAAAAAAATATTAAAAATTTAGTTTTATTTACTACTAATAGTCTCTAGCAAAATGTTCCATAATATGTTGGTAAGTAGCTACTTAAAAGATAGGCTAAGTAAAAAAAATATATGAGGGCGAAACGAAGTTCGCAGCTAGTCAATAATAAAATAAGATATGGTCATCTCCGGTACGGTAGCAAGGCCTCTTTATGCTCAAGGACTGACGTCACGCACATACACTTGTAAATAGTAATTATGCAAAATTGAAATTATATCTATTAAACTGCGCAACAGGATATGCACTCGGACAATTATTATCATTATCTAAGTACAGGTGATCTTGATAATATATATTTGAAATAATTTTTATTATTTAAAATTATTGATTAAATTATTCACATACTTTATAAGGATTTATTACTGGACTAATTTTGATACATAATACTTTCGTGGAAATAAAAACGATTGTTATGTAACTGAAATACAGTCTTCGCAACATGTAAGACATTTTTGGTTGGTACCAACCTGAAGTCCATTAATTGCGAAGAAAATATAAATGAATTTTCCAAATGTGCCTTTTATGTAGACTTTCGAGGCCTACAATTTCTTTTGAAATTTATTACGAAGGCTTATACAATAACAGCTTTTCTTTCTAATAAAATTGTGGTATAAAGAAGTGATAAAAAAGGGTTATAAAATCGCCCCATTCGGGTCCAATGGGATTTAAGCGGGGCAAACAATATGAATGGGTATCAAATATAAGAATTTAGGACTGACAAATTTCAGGATTTTAACTCAATACATTCTTATTGTAGAATGTTAATTATATTTTATCGCCTTTTAAAAATTATATAATATTCTATTCAACGTATTGTTAAGCAAGGAACTAGCGCTAGTGTAGAAAATGTTTATGTTCTCCCGAAGATGAAGTGTTAAATTGATATGGTTTAGAATTGTATAAAATACTAGCTGACGCGGGAAATGTTGTTTTGCCAAATAAAGATTATTACAGTACTAATATTTACAAATGGGTTTGCTAAATGAATTATTGATGTCAAATTAAAAAAATAAACAAATTTAAAACTCACTAAAGGGTACCTATAAAAAATTGCTTATGACCTATTCTAAGATCTACCGAAAACACACAAATTTCATATCGATTACATATATCAAATTAAATGGCAGTTCAATATACATATCGATCCAGAGGCATATTTCAATAAAGATTACCTCCAGGCAAGAAATGATGTAGTTGCCCCACAATGGGCAAAGATTTAGGCCCCGGTATTGACGTCCATGGCTTTGATTGCGCATTCTCTTCACTTATCGCACTGTTTACTGTCACTGTTCTGAAATCAGTTAAATTCTTTAAATAATAGAATTTTCATTATGGATGTACCAAGGAAGAACCGTCTTGTTTGTCTAGTCACCCACAACACGGGCTGCCTGGTGTGATAGTCCCCATCCATTAATCAATATGTTCCCACGAGAATGTCAGTGCGTGCTCCTCTTTCACCATGCCTCCTGCTGATACAGGACAAGTCTTTGTTTTTAATTTATGTTATTATTATTAATGACTTAAGATGTCATGTGGAACATGTTGTAATGGTTGCAGCTCCTTACAAACGTTGTGTAAAAAAAACATGGCGATTAAAAAGGGTGGCGGAGAGTTTATTGCCAGTTCTTCTCTTCCGTTCTACGCCCTTGATTTGAGAACTGGCACTAAATGTAAAGTTAGAAGCATTTCATATACATTTCTTTTTTTGACGTTCATAAGTGTACATAATGTTATCTACTTCACTTCTCTTCACTTTATTTATAATGGCGACTTCTGTGTAAATCACAATTCCGCCAATGTCCCGTTCTAAGTCTTACACGGTGAGGATAGATTTGATAATTTTGATAGATTGAATTTAATCTAATAAAGATAAGCAGTTACCCAAAACAAAAATGACGTCACAATAAAGACAACACACGTCACACACAGACATCTAATAATATATACAAGAGGTTAACATTATACTACAAGGTATGGAGGCGAGAATCTTATTTATAACTTTAATTTATTGACAGAAATAAATTTCCCTAAAATTTTGATGATCAGGCTGGATGGGAGGGAAAGTACGGAGTTAAGGTTACATGGACGAGGGAAATCTGGAGAAAGATGGTCAAATAACGAGTCATTAATTAAAGAACAGATAAAATAATGTTATCTCTATCATTAAATGATTTTTGACTTTGACAATATCAATTTTGTTTCAACCATATATTGTTAAGAATATTGAAGTAATATATTCATAATTCATTGTTCCGTCTAGGTAACATGGCGAAGCAAAAGAAAAATACAGAAAACCTAAAGAATATAAAACTCAAATTATTGTATCTTTTTCTTTAAAGTTTTTTGAATTTTGTTACCAAATTTGTACCGCAAAAGAGTTGTAATCTAGGTACTCCCAATACTCCCCGGTACGTTGACTAGCGTCAAATCAATTTTCTACAACCATATTTTGTTATAATTAAAGTTTATAATTATTTGGAATATAAAAGCTACAAAAAACGTTAGAGTATATACTATATATAACCTAGAGAATAAAATTAAAACTATTGTATTTTTTAATGTTTTGTTTTTTGTAATGTTTTTACTAAACCACACCCACAACATAATTGTCCTGGTGTAGTGTTAGGTAATATAATATTAAATAAAGATTATAACCACATAAATAATAAAATACATTTTAATACATATTTTTTTCTATTTGATTAGTAATGTTTTTTCTGTTAAATACATAAAAAATACTCTTTTTGAAATCTATTACCAAAAATATGATGCTGACAGACATTACTAGTAGCAATAAAAAAACATACCTGTTGAAATTCTTTGTAACAGCGACACACACAGATTTCCGTATAGACTGCATGTTTACATCACAATTCACAACTGACGCGCAATTCAATTCGCTTATCAACTTTATCTCTGATATCTTACAAAAACAGGCACAGATTAAAAACAAATTGGGATTTTGGTGGATAATTTATTTATTTCATTCACAAATGTAAAATAACGTATTAGAAACTATTTTATACTCTCGAGATTACCTTCTCGAACAATGTTATGCTCCTGCCTCTAACTCCGAACTAACTCTGAGGCGTTTCTAAATAAAATGACCTTCAGTCATAGAAATTTAAATAAAGATGTTTATCGCACTATCGGTGCATTTGATCACATTCGTTTAAACTATTAAAAAGGATTCTGTTCATAGATAATTTATTTTTCACTTAAAATGTATAAAAAATCAATACAAACAATTCAAAAACAATCATGATTGAAATTACTATTCTGTTACAGTATACCAACCGCCGTTTCAAGCGTTAGCCGTGATATCGAATCATTGAGAAACAAAAGACAATCGTTAAATAGCTAATAAAATCATCAAAACAAAAAAAATCTACTACTCCATGAAGCAAATTTCGCACTTTGATTTAAAAATGGAACTACAGAATGTTTTAATTTTTCTATTAGTGTTCCATTTTTGAATTTTATAAAATATGAATATAGCTACAAGTCTTCGAAAAGAAAATAGTATGGTCCAACGACGTAGTTGATCCCGTATACTTTGGTTTTAGCTGGTGGTCCTATCCAATCCACTCTGAAGTGCTTTAGTATATTTGAAATTAGAATCTCCAGTTCTAACTCGGCAATTCGGCGACCTAAAACATCACAACTAATATGTACATCTATAGCTCGTATGAACTATAAAGAGGAAATAGTCACAGATAATTTTAAAATGAAACAGACCATTTTACGTAATCGTTTTAAATTTGTTAATAGCACTGTTTGAGTGTGTGTTGCTTGTTCGTTCCATTACATGTAGATTGTTAGAGCTGTAATAATATGTACAACTGAATACTGTTGAATTGTTCCTTGTGTTACGTATGTTGTGTATTTATAATTCTTTTATATTATTATTTTTTGGCTTATAGATCTTTATAGGCTATTAAAATTAAAAAAAAAATATCTTAATTGTTGCACTTTGGAGAATTTTAGGTATGTATACGTATGTGATTATGTGAAACCTTTTAAATAAATAAATTCAAAGTAACGCTTGGACTGCTCAATAAAAAAGTATGAAATGCTATTGCAATAGTTATGAAAACGACGACAAAGTAATACTGAAATCCTTTGCGAACTACCCATGTCATACTTTGTCCTTTTTTTACATTCATTTCGTCTATGAAGCTTTTTAGTTTTTAGTCTATGAATGCCGCATATTTTTGCAAACCTAACTGAATGACATAATGTTATTAAACAATCATAAAGATATTGCATGGAGTTATTCTTTCGTTTACGTAAGTATTACACATTTTTATAGAATTTATTCCTTCTTTAGTCAAGAAATTTCCTCGCTAAATAGATCCTATTTATTTATGTCATATTAACGAATTATCATCTTAAATTGTACTCACCTAAGCAGCTTCTAACACCGAAGCCAAAAGGGTTACACGCAAATGGGTGTGCCCTTCCATAATGCAAGGGATCAGTCTTTTCAACCAGCCAACGTTCAGGAATGAATTCTTTTGAACGTAGAAAATGTTGCTCACTCGTTGATAAAAACTGGTGAGCAAATGTTACTAATGTCTGTGAAAGGAAACGACAACAATATTACTCGAGAAAATATTAAAAATAATTTTCTGACTACTACGAAATAAAAGTGATTTAAATTTGGAATTTCGATCACCAAAGAGACCAATTACAATATTGTATGAAAACGTTGCTGGATGAAAAATATAATCTGTGCGAACCAAATAAAAAAACTGAAAAAATGCGCGAAAGGCATTCTTTTGTTATTCTTCGTTCAAATTCGGGTTTAAGTAGTAGGGATAACTGTTAAGTATTGAAGAAATTAGTAACGTATTTTCTTTCGCTTAAGTATGGATTAATAAAAGGATAGTGTGGTTTTATGAAACCACAGTAAAAGTGAAACTTTTTTTTCACATTATAGACATTTAACTAAAAATTTTTGGAATAATATTCCATTAAGGGTATAAAAATCGCTTTATCAATCTTAATTTTATACTTGGAAAATTGGAATGATAATGGAAAATAATAGAAGTAGACTAAGTCTCCAACTAATATTTTTATTGAACTCTGTGTCTTAGAGAGTACGACATACATAATACTTAACAATTATTTAGATTATATACACATTAAATAATAGTCTATACACTACACGGTCAGCTGCTGCGAACTAAAGGCGCGGCCATATTGGCCTTGGCTGCTATGACGAGCGCCTTTCACTTTATCCCTACTCCGCGGCCGACCATCACGCGACATGCAACACACAGACGAAAAAGTTTGAGACGATGCAATAAAAGTTTCACTTTAAAAAATATTTCAAATCATTATCATTAAAAACATTATAAAAGTATCTACGTGCGCGGACGAACATTATACTATATTCACGGATAGATAGAAATAAATATTGCAAGGAGTATTTTATATTTATAAACAAAAAAAACAACTGAATAGCATTTAAACGCGTCAAATTATCAAATTAATAAAACTATCGTAAACCAATTATGTAATTGTTAATATGTACTTACGTTCTTCGGTAAATTATAACCTAAAATATTATAATCTTTAGTGGTCATCCTCAGATTTCCAGCTACAATAGGCATTATACGTAAGGATTCTTTAATGCAGGCTTTCAAGTAGGGTTTCTTCTCATTCTGAGACATTATTTCGTCTCTTAGTTTTTCTTGCTTATCTTTATTTTTTGCTAGTAGGTATAATGTTGCTAACATTGTGTGTGCAGACTGGAAATAAATGATAAGTGCTCTATATAGTACTACATACATACATGTATGGGAATCAATCAGGTGCTAAGGAAATCTTCAAACAAAGAAGAATTATATGATGACTTCATGTACGTTTTATTAATTATCCTTTAAGGCTTTAGAAGTCTATACAACATGCCGATAGAATAGCCTACCCTTAAGCAGGCGAACAAACTTTTATTTTTAAAATATCTTTTTTTTTTGCAATCGGAAAATTACAGGGCGTTTGGCTATTATAATTGTGGGAAGATACGTCGGGCCAAAAAGTTTTTATAGGCATTGCAAAGACAATAATAGGTATATATTAGGGTTTAATATTTTGATACCAGAAACAAAGCCTAGACGAAAGACGAAACCATGCATTTGTGATGACATTTGGATTGTGGTTGGTTAGTTAAAAATATATAATAGAAGTAACTGATTGAATGACAAATTTAAAAATAAATCCAAAATTAGCTAGAAATCAAGTGAAAAACAATTTGAGTGAGTTAGACAACAGTTATTTAGTTGTGTGTTTCATAACAGACAAATTTTACCTTTACAAATTTATATTTCTGTTCGAAGATTTAAATGTCACAAATTGCTTGTAACAGTACGAGACCATATTGGTATATAGATCATAATACATACTGTGTCCACACCAGCAAATAGCAAGTCTGTGGCCATGATGACGGCCACTTTCTCATCTATTTCCAAAAGTTTCTCAAGAACGCTCTTCTCTTCATCGTCTTTTCTTCCCTTAGATTTATATTCTTCCATCGCCTTTTTAATGAAGTACTCGCTTATGCTGAAACATTTTATATTTTTGGTAAAATGTTAAATAGCGAAAAATTAAAACTTGAATCTTCATCACCTAGACTGTTATTATCCATATTCTAGAACGCGGATTTAGTTTCCAGAGTAGTCAACATAGTATCATGTTTGACAATTTTCATAATCCACATTAAGCATTCTGAACCCCAGCCCTGCGATTCTGTAACTCACTTTTCGAACTCACACAACGGTTTTCGCATCGGCGGTCGCTCTCAAATCAGTCGTGAAGTAGTCATTTTATGATTTGGCATTCTGAAAAGGTGGGAGCTTGTAGTTTATTGTTTCGAAAGTGAGTTACAGAATCGCAGGGCAGTACCGGCCGAATTGATACAACCGAACCTTGAATAAGCGGATGACTGACTCGCCTCAACTACCTTGACCAGGGTGTGTCTGTAAGCACCCAGGCTTTGCGAGGTGTAGTCCGCCCAAGACCTTAAAAAGTCTGTTTGGCTCGGAAATACTCTAAATGCGATGCTACAAACTTTATAGAAGATAGGAATATCAAAAGTACACTAATAATAAAAATAGATCTAAATAAATGTTACCTTTTTTGTTCAGCATAACAATTCATTAGCTTCCTATAGTTCCGTGTTGAAATGTATCGCCATAAACTTGGTCGGAAGTCCAATTTGTTTATCAGAACAAATATATCGTGGGCAATTTGAATGAGTCTTCGGGCGGGAGAATCTTCAGGTAGATTTAGATCAAGACAGTTTATTCGACCACCCAGAGCCACTACACCAATCGTTTCCAAAGCCCATAACGATATTACATCATCGATATTTTCAATAGCATTTTTTTCATTACGTTCGTATTTCATTCTAAAAATATACAGTATTTTTTTGAATATTTGTTGATTGGTTCAATTGCTAGTTAGGGAGCGTTCAAGTATTACGTCACGCAATTTTTGGAGATTATTGACCCCCCCCGTGTAACGCGCTGTAACCTTTTTACGTTATTAGTACATTATGTGGTGTAAAGTACTGGAAAAACGAAAATAATATTAACAATAACGCATAATTCAATCCAATTCGTTACGTAATACTTGAACGCTCCCTTACCTATGCTATTATTTTAAGTCTATGACTGCCATAGTGTTTTTTAATTTTATGATTATTTAATATATCGGTTAATAAAATAATGTAAATCTATATGAAAATTTATTTTGAGTATTTTTAGACCTCGCAGGTTTTAGTGTGATTTTTAATTCTTACTTTTGAAATATAAATACTGAAATAAATCGTCGGGTTTATTTCATCATTATTTTTATGTTCAAGACATTAATAATTAGATGAGTTTGCATTATGACAAGGAAATATTACCTTGTAACTGTATCATCTGAAACTTCGTTCAATATTTTGCTGTAGAGTTTAATAGTTTTCGAATGCATCATTATTGGGTTTACTATTGACCGGAATTTTTTCCATGGTTCACCATGACTGTAAAATTGTTCGGTATTATTTTTTGTCTCTCACTGAGTCAAATAAAGTAAATTCTTAATAGTTTACTAGAGCGAAGGTCGTGCATTCGAATCTAGGCAATGCATGAATTGGAATCTACGAAGTAAACTCACGTAGGCACTCGTTGGGTAAAGTAATACTACAAGGTTCAGTATCCGTACTTTGTAACTCTCCAATGATGGAACCAATTTTGAAGTTATTATCTGACAGAATTAAATAGCGCCTTGGTTTTTTGAATAAATTAAGGGTATGTTCCGATATACACTGCGAGTACTGTATAGTGCTCCCACTGTTCAAAAATTCGTTCCGCTATGGACTGCCAGTATACAGCCGCAGCGTCCTAGGGAAATATATGACGTCACAAATCCCCGCTATACTTCTACTGCGAGCACTGGCGTTTTCGAGGTAAGGTACTCGCAGTGCTTTGATCACGTGATCAATCAAAACCACTTGAATGCCTAACGGCTGATATAACTTACAGTTTAATAACAAACATTTAAAATTCTAATTAAAGAATTAGCTTGGACTAATTAATGAAACAATGGAAAACTTACGAAAATTGAGTTTATTAGACTGTGTAAGTAATACTCGAACAACGGCACCAACAAGCACAATTCCAATTATTGTGTATTCCATTAGCTGTGAATTGTTTTTTATTTGTAGTAATTAATAACTAATTTTTATAAAGAAAACTCCTTACTTTTACCCTACATAACCTTTGCATTATAAGTAATACAGAAAGTTAATATAAGTTGAGTTATGATAAACAGACTTTTTCTAATTAAAAAATACTTACTTTCTTTGTAGTATTAATTCAATTGACAGTTAATATTAATATAGATTTTTTAATGCGATAATACTCCAATAATAGTTTTTCTTGTTGAATTGAAAAACTTTGATGCACTCATTTGAAAACTGTGTCGAAAAACGAAGCTGACTAGTATACTGGACTGCGTTCCGTTTTAAATTGTAACCAGTATAGCTGGCTATAGAGAAACGGTTTCACAGTATACTAAATTGACGGTACTCTGTACAGTGGTCGCAGTGTATATCGGAACATACCCTAAAACAGACAACACTGACATGTGTCAAGTTAGCTAATTCTATGCATAGATAATTAATAAGATATAGAAGAAATTAATTATTTTATGTCATACCCGCATACCCTAACTACCTACTACCCTAAGGTAACGGAACTTTTTTAATAAAGAAAATATAAATCATGTAAGTACTATAATTAAGCTAGGTTACATCAATATCAGTTTCTATATAAATACGTGGAAACAAACTTCCTGTACAATGAAGTTTAAGCTGTTAATAATTGTAACTGTTTAAGGTTCTTACTCAGTTAAGAGGCCCGTTAATTGATCAGAACTGTAGGGAATAACTTTCTTTCTGTAGTACTCTAAACTCCTAAATCCGGGACGAACGGGCATCCAGTTTTCGCTTCTTAAAATCTATAAAAATATAATTTTTCTTCTTTAAATGTAAATAAACACAAGCCTTCAATCATTTTAAACATGTAATCCGAAAACAAATATACTTGTATGGTTATTTTGTAAAGTTTAAAATATACCAAAAATTATTGCGTCACTTTCTAAGCCAAATTTCGCATCATCGCATTTAATATTTTTTTATTAAAGTTAGAATAAATAAAAAGGTGTTACTGTAGTTTTATTTTGTATATTATATTGATAGATAAGGTAAGGTAAGTAGGCTAAAATTCCTACCAAAATTGTAAGTAATAATTTAAAAAAGTTAATCATTATTATTTGTGTAACAAATATAAAATATAATAGTTGTTCTTGTGTAATCAATACATTAGAGTAAATTTAAGTAGGAAATGAATGAAGTAGCTTTTATATCTATACCCTTATTATGTTATTTGTTTACTAAAATTCTAATTGAACGGAACTTACAAGCGCAGCAGCATCCGCATCTAAAATGAATATCAGTGTTGGCCCACCAAATTTTCCTTCCAATCGTACAATAGGTCCAAATTTATCGTAAAGTGTATTCAACATTATTTCACGATTAGCGAGTGATCCTACAATTATATGGCGATTACTTTTTGTTAGTTATTAGCTATTCATGACCAATTAAGCATGCTTTTTTATGTGATGGGTAAGAAATTGGGATTCTTTCTTCTATAACAAAACAATATTGGTTCATTAAAATAAAAAAATGAAAGGATAGGCCGGTCGCTTGTATAAGGTAATATTTCCATTAAAAATTTCCTTGTTTTTAAAACACCTCGGTGTCCTAAAACAATTTGGGACTAACCTTCTGCATTAACGGACCTTTTTCATTGTCCGTTGAGTGAACTGGCAAAAGTTTTATTATTTGTTAGTGCCTATAGTAGTTAGTTAATTTATTATGTAATTTTGTTAAATTAATTTCGTATGTTTGCTTATTTTTGTTTCCTCTGTAAATTTTATTCACTCTTGTCAATTTAGGGTCGCCTGTTATTGCAGGAGTGTTTTATAAATAAATAAAAAAAAATATCAAAACGATTTAACGTACCTAATAAAGAATACGATATTATTGAAATTATGTTCCTCATTTCTACAATTCCTGACTAAGCTAAATTAATATGTATCTAAGAATCATTGCGTAGAAGGTATGAAATTCGGTTCAGAACTTATAAAATATTAAAAAAAAAATACATTTCAATTTTAAATAATGACAATAATTATTGCTTACCTCCCGGCAAAAAATGCAAAGTCTGTCCAATGATTGGTAATGAGTAAGGTCCAGGAATCTCTTTCCATGATTTAAGATTTGAAGCAACATTCTCATTTCCCTTCAATGAACAAAATCTGGAAATATTTTACTGTATTTTGTATAAAGTTTTTATATAATTAGAAAAAAGCGCTTCTATTGGAATACGTCTGTGCTCTGTGCCTGTTGTAAGGATCAGTATTCAAGACAAAGATATGATACTTCTATCCAACTCGAAACAATTATAGATTCATAGGCAATAGAACCAGTCACCTTTGGGTTCAACCTTATGTCCATTTAATAACCAAGCTATTATGGCTGTTTCGAATATTAAGAACATGCTGCTCACGAAATGTGTATAAAGCTTGTAAAAGTAACAAGAAAATGGCTAAAAACATAATAATATGTTAGTTATGAGAAAGTTAATAAACCTTATCACCTATGTATTATAAACTATATTAGATAAGGACATGGAAAGTGGTTGATAAATAGATTTTTACATTTCATTTAAATTATCGTTTGGGGAATATGTGTAATATTTATATTTGTAGAACAATAATGCAAAAACTTGAAACAGACTGACTTAGACTTAGCCATGATATTGCATGCATTAAATTAAATTATTTAATCTTAATGGTTTTACAGCACAAAAATGAATGTTGCATTTAGAACGTTATAAGAAGTTTTACTAAACATTAATACCATACAATAATACTTTTAGCGGTAAGGTTAAACAAGTTCTTAGTCTAATAGGTAATATTCATAATTTATAAAGTTAAATATATACATTATACATCATATGTATTTGCTTTATATTTACGTGAGATCATCTAATCATACACAGATAACACGTTAAAAATTGATAACGTTTTGTGTCATCTGTTATCATGACTTTGAAAATGAAAATGTTCGTGACCTTTAAAATATGTCGGCGTTTAATGTTTGTGTTTTGTTCTCACTATGTAAGTGCGTGCCTAATTCGACCGCTGATGCTAAGCGTTTGCTACTTTAATATTATTACATTTTGTTTCCATATGTCAAGTGATAGTTAGCGTAATATTAGGTCCTTTCATATGAAATTGGCGTTTTGTATGGGAGGAACAAAAAGTCGAATATTTTTAAATATAATATATTTAATTAATCAAAGTATGAACCATTGTTTTCTATGCACTTTTGCCATCTCATAGGTAGTTCATTGATCCCTTTACTAAAAAAAACCGGATGGGCGGGAATCAATAAAATCTGCGAAGGCGATTTGGACTGCCCCATCAGAGTTAAATTTTTTCCCTTGCAAGAAGTTGTCCAAATTTCGAAAAAAATGGTAATCTGTTGGAGCAAGGTCCAGGGAGTACGGAGGATGTCTTAGACATTCCAATTGAAGCTCTTCTAATTTGGTAGCCGTCTGTTGTGCAGTGTGTGGTCTAGCGTTGTCGTGAAGTAGCAGTGGCGTGGAGCGATTGACCAGCCTAGGTTATTTAGCCGCTAGCTTTTCCATCATGGTTTGCAATTGCTGACAAAAGACATCAGCCGTAATAGTCTGGCCAGATTTGAGAAAACTGTAATGAACAATACCGGCACTAGTCCACCAAACGCTTACAAGTAACTTTTTTGGGGTTAATTTTCGCTTGGGGCAGGATGTGGCTGGCTGGCTAGGATCTAACCATTGCGCTGAGCGCTTTCGATTATCGTAAAGAATCCATTTTTTTATCACAGGTAATGATTCGGTTTAAAATACCTTCATTATTGTGCCGGTTCAGTAATGTAACGCAGCAGTCGACGCGCGTTTGCCGGTTTGCTTCAGTCAATTCGTGAGGTACCCATCTTTCAAGCTTTTTATACTTCCCAATTTGCTTCAAGTGAATTAAAACAGTTTTATCACTAACACCGCAGCCTGCAGCTAACTCGGACGTGGTTTGCGATGGATCCGCTTCCACAATAGCCTTCAATACTTCATTATCAACTTGGGTCTCAGGCCGTCCACGGGGCTTGTTCTGCAGGTCGAAATTTCCAGAACGAAAACGTTGGAACCAAAAATGAACTGTGTTTTCTTTAGCAACATGACCGCCGTACACATCATTCACCCTTCGAGTCGTTTCCGCAGCACTAGTGCCACGGCGGAACTCGTACTCGTAAATAATGCGATACTTTAAGTTTTCCATTTTGTAAAATGAGTGACGCAAACAGAAAAAAACAGAGAAGAAAAAAACAAATGAATGACGGTCATCGAAGCACAAATACATGAGTAAATAGCTGTACAAATTTGAATTTGGAATTCCTTACCAAAGAGGAGAACATCGTGATTAAAGTGGCCAGTACGAAATACGCCAATTTCATATGTAAGGACCTAATAGTTGCAGTTCTTTAAATTTTTCTTGTGATTAAAAAGGGGGGAATTTTCTTGCCACCCCATTTAGATAAACGTAGTATCGTTATCTATATAACTAAAAATGAATTCAAAATATGTGTGAACGCAAATTGAGTAATTTTTCTCGGCCAATTTGAGTAATGTAATAACATTTACCCCTTGAACTGTGAAAACTCTAGTCTTTCTATGGAGGGAAAAATTTAAAAAAATTGCACAGAAAACCTAACAACCAGTTTTTATTCCAGAAAAACGATCAGTCTCTACTCTCTATCTATATGGGATTGCGTAGAAAAAATGTTCCATATGTTGATATGTAGTTACTAAAAAGGTCGTCTAAGTAAAAAAATCTTAACGCGAAACGAAGTTCGTATACATAACATTGAAACGTAACGGATCGAATAGATATTGGTAGCCAAATATTCTCACATCTTCCTTATTTTATATTAACATTCATAAGTGTATATGGTTACCAATATGATTAATAAGTTTTGATTTGATTTACGCCATGAAATATTCATCAACTTTTTAACCGCCTTAAAATCAGGATGAGGTGATAACTACGAGTATTTTTTTACAATATAAATCAATAACACTCGTATCGGTAAAATTATTGATTTAATTTTTCCATCGTAAAACCAGTATTGCATTTGCGGAGTTATAAATTACCATAGATGCTGGTTAGTAAAACTGTTCCAGTAAGAAGGCCTGTTGGTCTAAGATCCCGCTATACAACGACCTTCACCGAGATGCTTATTTAATGAAACTTATTTTATATATAATTTAATATGTCAATAAATATAATCCATATGGGTTGCCTAGCAAATTTCAGTCCAGAGTATGTTTAATTAATTTAAAAAAAAATATTTTTTTAAACATTTCACCGGTATGATTATAAGATAAATTCTATACCAATCGAACGTATGAAGCCCATAGAATATGCAAACGTTAGGTTGTTTTTAATCAATTAATTATTTATGTGTATATTTTTTATGTGACACTAAAGTATATATACATCTTTAGTATAAAAGAAGGTTATAGTGATACATATATAATACTACCCTGATTAAAAATATTGATTGAAAAAAGTTCAAAAAATTTACTACATGCAAATTATAAAAAAAAAAATTTTTTTTTAATATTAATTAAAAATACTCTGGACTGAAATTTGCTAGGCAACCTATATGGATTATATTTATTGACATATTAAATTAAATATAAAATAAGTTTCATTAAATAAGCATCTCGGTGAAGGTCGTTGTATAGCGGGATCTTATACTATGTTTAGAAACTCAGCGAATTTGTATTACTTTGTGTAGCAAAACCAAAGTTAGCTGACATACATCATTGAAGCCATTGAATAAATTTTACAACTTTTTAAATTAAAAATAATTTGTTGATTTTCTAAGAGATATTATCGAATATCCTATTCTTTATACTAAATATGTATAGAAAGCAGTATTTGATCTAAACATTTAGCATGAAATGTAAGGTAGTATAAAATGGAAATAACATACCTGCAAATTACGTCATTATTAGTCTAGCTTCAAAATTTTTGTTACAATAGATTTATTTGTACATAATGTTTAGAACAAATATTTATAATACTGTAATGCTATGCTTTTAAAATGAGTATTCTTACCTTAAACTATTTTTAGGTGAACCTAAGACTGGCAATAATTTTCTTAATAACTGCATATTTTTAACAACTATAATGTGTTTTATTTAATATAGTTGCTTGCTGACAACTAAAACTACATGTAAAAAATAATATTCACGTACTTTCAACGAAAAATACACACTGTAGGGTTTAAGATGTTTAGTAGGCGTTTTGGCGCGCTTCACAGATTCACGGATGACAGTAGGTACTATTGTCAATAGACAATTCTATTGTCTTTGGTCTTCTCTATTGATAGACTATTATGTAGTATGTGCGCAGAGCACACTTTTTGTATAACGCGCCAATTGTAAAAAAATAAATTGTATTTGGTGTAAACCTGTACGTATTATAATCTAAAAATTTTCTTCATGTTATATATATATCTTCATGGTATATAACACCATTATTTATAAAACCTAATAAAAGTTAAATTACGCTTTTAGCTAACGTCATCAGTCGTCTTCTGTCGTATTGTATTTAGAGAATGTTGTAAAGAGTCAGTAATCTGTGATTAGATAAGATAAGAAAGGAAGGTAATGAAAATATGTTTACTTGTAATTACTTCGATTTCGATTAGTTTCGAAGCCAGAAATATTATAAGGATTTTATCTGAGACAATTTTTTTTACCTTAATAACGTAATTTTATTTTGAAACAATTTAAAGTTAATGCAGTTCATAGTCCTCATCTAAAATAAAACTGTTGTTCAGAGAATAGTTTTAATTCTTGTAAGCATTTTTGAAAACAAATGGCAAGTCCCCTTTAATGTATATACTTATGGCAATATCTACTTCGGCTGGAGGTCCATCCCAGGACACTTCGAAGTTTTTTATCATTTCTGATGTAAATGACTCGAGTTGTAACTGGGCTATTCTTCTCCCTGAAAATAAATACATGTTCTTACTAGAGACACTATTGTTTCTTTAGTTTGATTAATGGTTGCGTGGTTTTAGGTAAAGGTTTATTTATTTATACATTTAAACAAATAATGGTTACCGTACTTTACCAAACACATCAACTCCATTCAAATAGTTTTAGGTAAGTAAAAAATATGGTAAAATCAATTTGAAAATTATTTCTAAATACGATATATAATTTATTATTGATTAAAATCCGTAGCTGTCCAATCGTTATATAATATAATGAAAAAGGTTTTTGAGTTATAATATAAAATAAAATAAGGACTTAGGGAACGTACCCATTCCACGTGACCCGTTTAGGGGGGGGGAGCGAAGTCTTTAAAATACTACGGTCAGTCACAGGATTGGGGGGGGCAAATTTTTTTTTTTTCAATTTTTGCCTGTGAAATGATTAAAAATCATAATTATGAATTACTACGTGAAAACTAAAGGGGGAGAGGGGCGTCTTGGCATATACTACGAGTGGTCACCGAGGGGAGGGAGAGGTCGAAAAAACTGAAAAAATAGGTCACGTAGCATGGGTACGTTCCCTTATTGTTAAATAAACATTTAAATTAAATGTAATACAGCGTTAAAATAGGGCTATAATACATTATATTTTTAAATTTCATGGAAAATTAATGTCAAAGGATTAAATAACTAAGACAAGGCATTGTCAGCCGGAAAACATATTATGCGAAAAAGCAAGGAAAAAGCGTGTGTTACCTTACGCTTATCATGTGTAATTTAATTATATTAAATAACAATTTTATAAATAATTAAATTACCCGTAATTGTAATAATTATTTTCATTTCGAAAGAGCTTATTTACTAGCATTATGAAACTTACCAATACAACTTCTTGTTCCAAAACCAAATGGACTGTATACAAATGGATGAGCATTTCCATAATATAGGGGGTCAGTCTTATCAACAATCCATCTTTCGGGAATGAACTCGTTCGGTCTAGGGAAGTGTTGCTCAGTCTTACTGAGAACTTCGTGGTTTAATACCACAATACTCTGGAAACGATTTGTTAACTTTAACAGTTCGTAACACGCTTTACTAATCAACGGGGGCGGGACAAAATCTTTTTTATTTGGTATTTTATGGCAAGGTCGGTCATAGTTTAAAAAGAAAAAGAATATATTAGGTCCTTACATATGAAATTGGTGTTTTGTATGGAAGGAACAAAAAGTCGAATATTTTTAAATATAATATATTTAGTTAATCAAAGTATGAACCATTGTTTTCTATGCACTTTTGCCATCTCATAGGTAGTTCATTGATCCCTTTACTAAAAAAAACAGTCGGACGGGAATCAATAAAATCTGTGAAGGCGATTTGGACTGCCCCATCAGAGTTAAATTTTTTACCTTGCAAGAAGTTGTCCAAATTTCGAAAAAAATGGTAATCTGTTGGAGCAAGGTCCGGGGAGTACGGAGGATGTCTTAGACATTCCAATTGAAGCTCTTCTAATTTGGTAGCCGTCTGTTGTGCAGTGTGTGGTCTAGCGTTGTCGTGATGTAGCAGTGGCGTGGAGCGATTGACCAGCCTAGGTTATTTAGCCGCTAGCTTTTCCATCATGGTTTGCAATTGCTGACAATAGACATCAGCCATAATAGTCTGGAGAGATTTGAGAAAACTGTAATGAACAATACCGGCACTAGTCCACCAAACGCTTACAAGTAACTTTTTTGGGGTTAATTTTCGCTTGGGGCAGGATTTGGCTGGCTGGCCAGGATCCAACCATTGCGCTGAGCGCTTTCAATTATCGTAAAGAATCCATTTTTCATCACAGGTAATGATTCGGTTTAAAATACCTTCATTATTGCGCCGGTTCAGTAATGTACAAATTTTCATTTGGAATTCCTTACCAAAGAGGAGAACATCGTGATTAAAGTCGCCAGTACGAAATACGCCAATTTCATATGTAAGGACCTAATATAAAGGAAAAAATTTGACAGGGTTTGAAATATGTGAGATTAAAGATAAAAACATATTATACAAAGATGATTAAAAATTGTTTTTTGGCGTACGACCCTCATCTCTGAAGCTGTGCGTTCGAATCCCGGCTACAAAGGAGTTTTATTTCTATGTGTGCAATTAGCATTTGCTCTTATGAAGAAGGCAAACATCGATAAAGTACCGGCATATCTCAAACACCAAAATCGATGGTCATAGAAACAGCGGCAATCTCGAGAGGAGAGGCATTGGATTATTATTATTACTTACATCTTTAGGTATTCTATATCCAAGTACATCATAATCTTTCGAAACTTTTCTTAGATTAGCTGGTACTACTGGTATAATTCTTAATGTTTCCTTTATGCAAGCTTTTAGGTAAGTTTGTTTTGGGTCTTCCGATAAAATTTCCTCTCTTAGCTTTTTCTGTTTATCTGGATTTCTAGCTAAGAAGTACAATATTGAGATCACTACGTTAGATGCCTGAGGTGAAAAAAGGAAAGGATAGTTATCAAGTCAAATTATAATACATTACAGGTTTGTTTTAGAAGTCCTCTCATCATTGCTATGCTCCATTGTACCAAAGGTGGAAGTTATGCTACGAAACACTTTTATCCGTGTTTTTGGCAAATAATCATCTTGCTTACGACTTTGTTCGCAAGAAAAATGACACCACATCACAATCTACCCAAGCGTTATATTGTAAAATTGCCCAATAAGCATGATTATTTCATTGTGACCTTGAAATCTTGTAAACTGTAATAATGTCTGTGGTGACGTATCAACCCACAATAAATTATAGTAATTTCGTCTTACTTTGACAAACAAGCTCCAAGAACTTGTTTGACTCAATTATTACAAAACTATCAGAATTATTATTACCGTATCTACACCAGCAAATAGAGAATCACCAGCCATAAGAATGGCAGTTCGTTCATCAATGTTCACCAGTTTCTCAAGAATACTTTTTTCGTCACCGGGACTTTTTGTTTCCTTTTTTAGTTTTTCCATGCTTTGTTGCACAAAATATTTGCTAAGTCTGAAAGTTTTGAAAACAGTTTTGTTAATGATTATTGCTTGGAGCCATAGTTTTTCTAGTAGTAAAGAGTTTTCTAGTGTGAAACGCTTCGATAAACAAATAAAAGATTTGTAGGGCCTCAGCCGTTGGTTTTAATCCTGGAACAAATAGAATACGTAACTTTACTTACTCCCATTGTTCGGCATAAGTCTTCATTGCTTTTTTAAACAGCGGCGTAGAGATGTATCTCCACAGACTTGGTTTCAAGTCCAAGTTTTGCGCCAAATAAAAAACGTCATGTATATTCTTTATGAGTTTTCGTGCTGGGGAATCCTCCGGTAAGTTTGGATCGAAAAGGTTCAACCGTTGTCCTAGAGAAACTATCGCTAGCGATTCTAGCGACCACATCGTAATTTCATGCCTTACATTATGGACCATATGTTTTTCATCAAGTAGAAATTGTATTCTAAAAAACAGCAAAATGTCTGTGGCATCAACTTCAAACAGGCAAAAACAACCTACCTCATTGCAGAGAGACATAAATACCCTAATTTTAATATGGTTAATACATAATAATAATTTAGAGTTTCTCCAATATTATTATGAATAAATCAAACCTGCCGTTTCGATTCAATGTAATTTTTAAAGTTCAATGGTAATTTGGGTCCTAGATAAGAATACTGTCTGAATTATATTATGCAAGCTTTTGCGGCGATGTGATATCTATAAGTCATTATACATGGTACACAAGATTACAAATATCGGGATTTTGCGAGCAGAATAGACATTTAAAGTCTGTTTCTATGCAATATACTATTTGACTGAAAGTTACCTTGCAACCATATCTTCCGCTACTTTATATAACGGTTTGCTATAAATTTTTACACCCTTGGGTTGCAGCATTATTGGATTGACTTTAGATCTTAAACTCTTCCAATTCTCCCCATGTCTGTAAAGTAATTAAAACATTGTTATACTTGATAATACATACGGTACTTAAAGATATATAATATAACATTGAATTTGAAACCACTCAACGGGTTCAAATGCAGTTTTCAATTTGCCATTTAAGTATATTTTGTGCTTTTTACTTGATACCTCAGAATAAAGTGCAGCATTTTTTGTTTTGTTCTTTTGGAAATTAAAGTTTTTTATTATAAAAGCAAAATTTATTAAAAGTCGGCAACGCTATCGCGAGCCGTTTAGGCAGTGTGAGTGTCCATGGGCAGCGGGCGGCATCTCCTAATATCAGATGAGCCTCTGCCGGTTCTTTCTATAATAAAAGACAAATATTATTTGAGTTCAAAATTATTTTTAATGTTAGTTATTGTTTATTTACTCTGTAACAAGGCCAGTAGACTCGGATTCAGAATTTGGGTTATCACTTTTATGGTAATTCTTTCTATAATATTGTAGGGATTGAAAAGCTGGTCGGTCAGGAAGAATATCTTCCTCACGTAGAATCTGGAAAATATATTTTAATTATAACGAATCTTTAAAAATTATACAGGGTATTAGGATTTGTAATTTGTAATTCAACGAGCTTAAAAATAAGTAGTTTATGGATATGGATTTGATTTTATAGTTACAATATCAGCGGAAATTTTACTTATACTATTTTAAAGGTAAGTCAGAGTCGAGACAGCGCGAATTATGGTGACTCCCAAATATCAAATGTTAATTCATTTATTGGTCAGATAACCGGGGGGTTACTTACCTACTAGAATAACATGAAACTACTAAAGTATACATTAAAAGCTAACACAGGATGCATTATAGTAGTTTAAAATGTTAAAAAGTAAGATTTTTTTAAAATAATTAAACATTTTTGCAGGTTAATAGTTTTATAAAAAAATACGACGAAAGTGCGACAAGGAAAGAGGACAGTGAATATTAAAGTCTACGTAGGACATATCTGGCACATAGCCAGATATATTGCGGCTGTATGACAAATTAACACTTTCCTATGAAAACTAAAAGTAGAAAACGAAAACATTACCTTTTCTATAGCGCCAGGATCGAATAGGTTTATTATAAGGAATGGCACACCTAATATCTTCATTTTCACTATTGGACCGTACCTTTTGTACAGTGTATCGTATAAAGCATGTTTCACGTTATACAAGGAACCTAAAAACTGTACATTTTTTCATTTTGTATGCACTACCTACACTTTAACCCAACTCTTATTACTAGTCTTTTTTTACTCGGTTATTAATATAAATAACAGTAAATAGAAAATCAACTGTTTATAAATTACGTTACTATTGTTGTTTTTTTCTCAGCAAACATCCTCGTCTTATTTTTAATTTTTAATTTAATTATAATGGACTTTTATTCCATACCCTACTCAAGTGAGAGCAGTGTTGGCCTATTAGCTAGGCGCGCTACTCTTAACCATGAGGTCAAGTGTTCGAATCACGGCTAAGAGCGGATTTAAAACCGCCTGCTAGTCTCAAAATTTACCTAGCCTAGCCTATAAAAAAATAATCGAGAAACAGCTACAGCCAAATAAGGCCAAAGTCTATAGCTACCTTTTTTTTTTGAACACTATTCAATTACTATCACTACATAGTATAAAACAAAGTGGCTTTCTCTGTCCCTATGTATACTTAAATCTTTAAAGCTACGCAAAGGGTATTTTGTTGCGGTTTTTTTAATAGATATAGTGATTGAAGAGGAAGGTTTATATGTATAATAACATCCATTAAATATGGATGGAGAAATACTGTTCTTTTTTGAGGTTTCTAATGTGATGTCGTAAATCGTAAACAATTACATTTTTTCCGCTTACATTGCGAACCCTACGAGATTTATCAAAATAATGTACTAAGTATTGTACACATTGAAAAGGTCTACAGAAAACACCGCGATGGTTATGTCTATCTCTTATGGATATCCCACAATAAAAATTATTTGTCATTTACTTTTTACGACAAATAATGGCTAATTTTCGAAGCGATTTTAACCATTACAGCATTAATCCTTATCCAATTAAATACCTTAAATACATTGTTTATTTAATATAGATCTATATGGCCCTCTACATCGTATGATTTAAATGAATATTTTCGAAGATATTACAAATTTAAAAATTGCGGGACGCAGCGGGTCGGAGGCCGCGGTTCTCCCTATACTCTATAGCACTTTGAATTTAGTATCAGCATTGTATCCGTGCGAAGCCATGGCGGGTCGCAATATTTTTATAAAAACATTGTCTGGAAAAACCTTGAGTTAAATACAAACTGTAATAAAACATTTGTCGTTGTTTGTCGTCAGTTTTAAATAAATAAACGTCCTGGTCGACGGAGGATGCTATTCTTTTAACAAAGTTGATATTTTGATAAATACATACCACCAGGTAGAAAGTGATGCAGTTGCCCTATAATAGGTAATGAAGATGGTCCTGGTATTTCTTGCCATGTTTTGATATACTCTCTTTTGTCGAAGAGAGTCGAACTCACACCTAACAACCTGATAAGGAAAATAACATTAAGAAGGTATGGCTCAAAACTTTTTGGTGCCTATAACTAGGTTACACCCATACAGTCCAACATAATTACATTCAAAATCTAAATTTTTAAGTATATAACAATACTAAACAAAAACAACACTAAACATATTAAAACAGAAGACAATGTAATGTTGTTTTCGTTTTTATTATTAAAACACGAGAATAAACGCACTATCTTTAAACTATTATCTTATTAATGTTATTTAATAATATTTTTAAAGATAATTTAATGTTGATTTACCTTGTGTTTCTAGTATTTAAAAGGTATATTTTATCTATCCCTTTTCGCAGAGATAGCATTTTGTATTTTATAGTCTACTGCACGACCGCTCACATACAATTTTCTTTGTAAATGATAAAATTCCGAGGCCAATTTATTTTCAGTCTAAATATTTAACATGCGTCATAGTCATAAGGTTGATAATCGCACTTGCATCTAAAGACACATGTAAAGACATTACAATATTTATACACAAATTAAATAAAACTTATTATTTGTGCCTTGGCACTCTTGGAGGTCAAGACCTCCAGCTATTACCATAGGCTACAAACATATAATATTGTATATATGTTATACTATACTATATACAAATATATACGTATACATATACTAGCTGACCCGGCAAACGTTGTTTTGCCATGTACCTATATTATTTCTAGGAAACATTTTTAAGTTCAATAAAAATAACTATCTACTATAATAAAAAATAGGGGTTAATCGTAGAGTGGTGAAAATATAGGGTTGTATGTATTTTTTTAATGGCACATTATAACAAAATTAAAAATTAAAATTTCGCCAAAAAAATAAAATGTTAGGGGTGGACAACCCTTATCACTTAGGGATATGAAAAATAGATAGTAGCCGATTCTTAGACCTACTGAATATGCATAAAAAATCGGTCGGAGGTCGGAGGAGTATGGTAACTAACATTGTGACACGAGAATTTTATATATAAGATATATACTGCTCAAAACAATTAGCGGAACAAGATTTTTCTCCTTTCTATTGCTTAAACTAAAATTAGATTTAAATTAACTTGTACGCTATTTTTTGCCTTGTTAATTTGTTAATTACTACAATTAATAAAAAAATTCAATTTGTATTTTTTTTATTAAAAAAAAATTAAAATGTGCATTGTAGACGAAAAACTAATTGGTGATAAAAAAAGGTCCATCAAAGAAATATTCTTATATCGTTTGAATATTCGTCTTTAGTGACTTTCAGTAACGTGTGTGGCCTCCATGAGCCCTAATCACGGCTTGACAACGATTCGTATGATCCTCCGAATATCTTCTTGTGGAATTCGCTCCCATTCTTTAATCAACGCTTCAGTGAGCTGCTGCAGTGTTTGAGGTGCAATCGGACGCTTCCGGATGCGCCTGTCAAGCAAGTCCCAAATGTGTTCAATTGGATTTAGGTCAGGGCTCATGGAAGGCCACTCCATTACACGGATTTCCAGCTGTCGTAAGTAATCTGACGTGATGGCTGCAGTATGCGGCCTGGCATTATCTTGCATTAAAAGAAAATCTGGGCCCATACCATATGCTGCGGGCCAAACATGATCTTCGAGCACATTTTCAATGTAAGTTTCAGCACACAAGCGCCCGGGAACAACGACGAGATCTGTGCGCCCCAAACCATCACAGAGCCACATCCAAATTTGTCATATTCCTGGACTGCTGCTGCACTGTATCGCTCGCCTGGGCGTCTGTAAACACGGAGACGACCATCGCAACGTGTTAGACGGAATCGTGATTCGTCAGTAAAAAGCACTGGCCTCCAATGTCGAAGTTGCCAATTAGCGTGATTTTGCGCGAACTGTCGGCGAGCTTGTCTATGTTGAATTGTTAGACGCACAGCCCGAACTGGTCGGCGTGATCTCAAATTGGCTTCCAACAACCTATTTCTTACCATCTGGTCGGAAATTTCTACACCAGTAGCCGTCCTTAGTGTGTTTTGTAGATCTCTTGCAGTTGTGGTGCGGTTACGTAAAGCACAGTTGACGATGTAACTGCAAACGTGTAGTTTTTCTCTTTCGACCTTGACCACGCCTTCGTGAGTATTCTCCCGTCTCACGGTATCGCTTCCAAAGCCTGTAGATAACAGAAGGGGCTACTCCTAGATCATTTCCTACATAACGCATAGTTCGACACACTTCAAGCAAAGCGATAGCTCAGGAGACATGCAATTCAGTCAGATCTGGCATTATGACCTAAACTCACTCGCTTCAATGAATAACAATACCCAAAAGGCTCACTTCAATTTCTATTAATACTCAAAAGATTGAAAAAAACTACTTAAAATGTGTTTTCTGTGATTAGAAAGTAATGAAAATTCAAAGACGTCACTTTGTTTTTAGGTGTTTCTAGACACACTGCCACTTTATTATAGGACTACTAACCAAAACGCCGATGCTCTTTTGTTTTTTATTTTCTTCGACAATGCCTTAACATTATCTAGTGGCCAGTAATAATTAAAACCTTAAGTAAAAAGTTTAGTTCTACTTTAAAGTTTTGTTCCCGTAATTGTTTTGAGCAGTATATAAGTACATATAAGCATTTGCCGAAACTATATTATTCAACAAAAATACATACCAACTTGAGATCTAAAAACGGCGAAGATGTATGTAGCCGTCAATTTAATGATTATTCTAGTTTATGTCTTGTGACAAATTGGAAGGTTGATAGATGGTTAGACCAGAGGTAGGAAACAGCAGGAGGTAGGTACATGGCAGAGAGTGTGTGCAGACAGGAATGGCGGGATTTGGAGGAGGCCAAAGCCAAAAAAGGGAAAACAGATATGTTATAAGAATGAGATGATAGAAATATAAATTTGTGTTACGCTGGCCATAGACGGACCGCATGTTGCAGTCGATACCGACTGCTCTAAGCGGTTGCCGCACAGCGAACTGCAGTTTCCATACTAAATTCATATCCGCCATACACGGACCGCACGACCAGTTTCTGAGCGGTCGGAGCAGTCGCTCTGCGGTCGAGTTTCGCCGTGCGGTCGACTGCTTAGAGCTGCCGGACCCACCATACACGGACAGCTACAAGCGGTGCTGCCGACCGCGCGCCACTCCCTCAAATAAAATAAAATACTAACTAATTCATCAAATGAAACCACGGACATTCTAAAGTAGTTGAAAAACTTTTTAGTGTCTTCTCTCATTTGGGGATACAAAGTATGAAATATTCCATGCTGTTCTCTTGGTTGTAGTATTGGACGCATCCACATGCTAAGGTGTCTTCTACGCCCAAGAAACAGTGTTTCTTCATCGAAATCCATCTTATAAATAAACTCGCATCAGTTTAATTTTGCGGTTGAACACAACTGCTCCAAGCAGTCGTAGTCGACTGCATTATGCGGTCGTGTTGCAGTCGTACGACTTCAACCCGACCGCTCTAGAGCAGTCGGTCTCGACTGCAACATGCGGTCCGTCTATGGCCAGCGTTAGTGTAAAACATCTGAAATAAAAAAAAATCTATTATTATTATATCTTGTGTCATACCCCTCGATGGCGCTGAATGCTTGTGTCAGTTGTTTCTCTTTAGACAAAGATCTGTGCATGTCCTTATATGTTTTTCACTTTTCATACGAAAACTAGACGACTTTACTTCTAGGTAATAACTTATTATCATTTGCACTTTGTTTTTAAAACGTCATATTCATATTAATAAAAACACCAGTGGCGCTACGTGGATCTCAATTTTATGTATCTGTTTCAAGACGTTTTAGATTTTTCAATAGGCAAGTAGGTGATCAGTCTTTTGTGCCTGACACATGCCGTCGAATCTCTTGTGACTAAGGCATGCCGGCTTTGACACGATGTACTTCTTCACCGTACGACCGAGTGTTCATTGCGCACTTAGACAATCAGTCTAAGTGCCCCAATGGGCACAGCCGGGGTTCGAATCTACGACCTCAAGGATGAGAGTCGCACGCACAATAGGCCAAACCTAAAACCAGATATATTAAAAAAACTTAAAATAAAAACTATAAATAAAAAGCAAGCTATAAAAAGCAAGGATAAAGTGAAGAAATCTATCGAAATAAAAATTTAAAATGGGAAATCTGTTACACGAACAGATATATTAAATGCAAATACCTGCGAGCGTATTTAAATGTAAACTGAAGAAATTAATAGACAGTACTTATACATATAGTCAGAGATCGTCCGCTACGATTAATGACGTTCTTAGTCGGGAAAATGTAAGGGATTTGCTCCACTAATTAGTTGGACATTTGGAGGTAATCTTTCTAAATCCAGAGAAATGGACTAACCGTAAGTAACGTATATGCGATAGAGGCAAACATTTATCATTTAATAAAACACTATTTTGACCGGATTGAAGTTATGTATTATTATAAATTTACAACTATTTAACATAATTTTAAATTTATCCGACGTTTCGCGTGCTTTACAGCGTGCGTGGTCACGGTGACGGAAACGTCGGATAAATTTAAAATTATGTTAAATAGTTGTAAATTTATAATAATACATAACTTCAATCCGGTCAAAATAGTGTTTTATTAAATGAATAAAAGTTATGTTAATCAAAGACAAACATTTATCATTTATCTGTGGTTTCATTAATATAGATTAAAGTTTTTTTTGTAGGACGTAAAATATATTACGCGTAAAGTTAGTAGTTATATTTAGTACATGTATAATATGGAAAACGGAAGGGTGCGGAAACTGAGTACTAAGCCGAAAAACTTTTGAAGTATAGCTTCTCTGCTTGAAAAACATTAAACGGCTGTTACGACACCGCTACTAAGGCTACTTGACCTAGAACTCACATAAATATAATGCTATATGTGGTCAATTTATATTTTAGACATTTAAGTACAATTAAAATATGCAAAAACAAAATAGAACGAGAGGACAAATGCGATCATAAGAAAAGAATTAAGTGTAGCTTGTTTATGACAGCGTCTCCAACCGTCTAGAGTCTAGACAAACTACAATCATGCGACACGTAGCCAATTCCTTTATTTAAGCATTCCAACCAAGACAGGTCACTCCTGCGGAAGCGTTATATACTGGAAATTTAAGCTGAATTAAGTAAGAATATCGGGTTTCTTCAAGCATTCCATTAAGTTTCAATGCTCGTCTAATTTGAATAGATACGGTTGTGAAATTCATATCCGGATTCGCAATGGCTTTGTGAAATTGAAATTTAGATATAGCGGAAACCTCTTAGTGATATTGAAAGGGATCTTAGCTTTACGTTAAACAATTTCATAACGTGTAAAATTTCATGTGAATCAGATTAAAAATGTGTGGTTGTTGTTA